AGATGTCCAAAGTTAGTAGCCGTAGCACCGAACTGAGTGAGTGAGTGAGTGAGTGAGTGTGTGTGAGAGAGAGAGAGAGAGAGAGAGAGAGAGAGAGAGAGAGAGGAGAGAAGAGAAGAGAGAAGAGAAGAGAGGAGAGAAGAGAGGAGAGAAGAGAGGAGAGAAGAGAGGAGAGAAGAGAGGAAATAATAATAATAATAATAATAATAATAATAATAATAATAATAATAATTTTATTGCTCATATTAACGCGATATTACAATCCTTCAAGCATTGTCATATGTAAAGTTGATGTTGATAAATAAAATTAAATGTACGAATTGTGTGGACGCAGGTTATTCAAATTATATTCGAATAGCCGGCCGATAATAAAATTAAGTCGTATTTCAGTTCCATTAGGGGTTCCCATTAGGGTACCGAAAATATGAGAAAATGTGAAAGTATATACTTTAGAAGGCGATAGATGGCAGCTGGGAAGAGGGCGAGACAAGATAGAAAAGGTAACCCAGACCAAAGAAATTAGAAACTAACAAGTATGAGAAAGTCTGTGCCATTCTGTAACACAACTAGTTCTATTTTCAGAGCAATGGCGGCAGGTTTCCCCGTTGCAGAACCCCCAGATAATGAAAAAGATCTTTTAATATGTTAGGAGTATACTTTTTCCTTTTAATGGCATTCAATATTCAAGATATTGCAGCAATATGTGTATATGAAACCACTTTGAAATCAAGGAGCGTCCGACGCGCACTCTCTCCGGCGTCTGGTGCTCTCCCAGGGCGTGCACCTAGACACGCTCTTGGCAGTATTACTGCGTTTTCTGCATTTACTCTCTGGCCCTGTACTTCAACTTCGGGCCTTGGGTGCGGCACCATGGGGGTTTGGTCGCCGTGTGCCGAGTGAGGAATACCAATTTTCTGTCTTCGTCTGACACTAGCTGCAACTTAATTTTATGAATTTCGCGTCTAATTCAAAGTACACAATTTGTCAATAATTGACGATATTGAATGCATTATTATGATGTTTGCAGAATTTATTTTAATTTGATGTTAGGTTTTTGATTTAAAATGTACATTTGATGAACCCCTTTTGTAAATTTGGGCGTTCTAGAAGGGAGTCCCTTTCTGTCTCTCACGGCGTGTGCATCTCCAACTGTTGGGGTACTACCGAATCCCATCATCACTACAAAAAATGACAATCTGCGAGAGTAGTTGTGTGTATGAGTGAGTGTGGCATGTCTTTTATTATTACAATACACACCAGTGTAGTGCAAGTTTCGAAATAATTTTGTGTAAAACGTAGTCGAACAATAGTGCTTGTTGCAAAGTGCTGGAGTGAGATCATCGCAATTACCGTATTTTCGAAACCAAGTTCTTCTTCAGTTTTGTAAGAATTATATTGCCGTCAATTGTATTAATGCACAACTAATAAAAAATTCACGTGCCCACTGGAAATCAAAGCGAAAACCACATGTGCGCGGGAGATTCCTGCTTCAGATACTACACGTAAAATTAAGCAAGTAATTTTTCAATAGTAAACTTAGTTTTAACATTTTATATGAATTGCTTACGTTGTAGTTACGTATTAGTGTTCTGAATTTTGGGCATTACGTTTCCGTCGGTCGATGGTGCTGACGGGCGCCAGCTACTAGTGGTCCAAGAGTGCTATAATATTACATTCCTAATTTCTGGGAGCAGTAGGGAATCTAAAAAATGCGTACTATCTCGCCCTTCCCCTTGTATCCCAGCTCACTACCGCATATAACTTTATTTTAGAGAAAAATAACATCTCATTTCGAAAAAGTGTACCTACGAAGGAAAACCTCAAACGAAGAATGATCTCGACCATCTTAAAAGAAAATCAACAAGTTTACCATTCTTTAACCATTAGCTTGAGGCCTCCGGCTTCTGACGCTTGTCACCCAGAGGTGAAGGTGCGGCCCACAGAAACTCTGAAATCAGTGTTCTGGACATCTCCACAGAGATGTTTAAAATGACGGCCCAGCGTTTGGTAAATATGGTGTATGGACACGAGAGGAGGCTTTTCAAACGAAGTGCCGAGTTGTGATCACGTAGTTCGTGACGTAACTGGTGCTGCGCAAAGGAGGGAAATTCGCTGCATTGGACTATACTGTGATTTTTTCATTGCTGCCTTTGACGTAAATCATCAGTTTCGGAGTCATCCAATCGGAAGGTTGAACGCCACTATAGTGACGCCACTGAAGTGACGTGTAAGGTCCCGATTGGATAGCATTGTAACAGCTAATGACCTGCCAGACGCAGCTTTGAATTGGGTGTTTACGTTTCAGTCGGGAATTTGTGCATCCTGGAATCTAAAAGCACTATCAATCTTCTGCGCATGCGGAATTCAAGTTTCCCATCACTACTGCATCTGCGGATGCATAGAAGATCGATAGTGTTGTCTGCTGTGGCCTTATAGAGATGTCCATAACACGTGACTTGAGTAATTCGGAGGACAGCACTGTCACCTGTGGGTGGCAAGCGGCAGGCTTCTACTAGCCATGTGCTTATGGGTAAAATAAGAGGGGTAAAATAATATGGGTAAAAATGTAATCGTTCTTCGTTGGAGGTTTTCCTCAGCCTATATAACAGTTTTAAATCGTTCTTGTTTTGTTTAGGTACACTTTCTCGAAGTGAGATAATATTTTTTCCGTTAAAATAAAGTGATATTTTCACGATAACCAAGTTGTGTCTGATAGTGGGCTAGGGCAAAAGGGGCCAGGAGAGACAGAGTAAACTTTTTTAGATGCCCTACTGTTCCCAAAAGAACAGGAATGTAAAATTGTAGCACCCTGGGAACAAAGAAGACAAAAGTAGATTTCTGATTTGAAGCAAAAAAGGTAATGGTTATTTCAAGTCAACAGTAGGTAATAGGTTCCGCTGATCTTCGTTATTCGCAGTTCACACGTCTGAACATATTCCCGTCATTCTCAGATGTTTTACCTGAAAACATACGTAGATATTCCACATTTTTGCATAATGTAAACAACCCTCTAAATGACATAGCTCTCAATAAATAGGTTGCCATTTACTTTCATTGCCTGACGTGTTGTACAAACACAGCATCATAATACGAATGAGTCTCTAAAATTTTGTGGATCTTCATAACGATTTTTATAAAAGCTAAGCCATCTTCTTAATTTTTTTATGTAAAAGCTAAGCCCAAATATTATGTGAACTGCTTTCTTCTGCCACCAGGGCTATCAAGTCATCCCACTTGCATTGCAAGGAATGACATAAAATGTTCATTAAAACTTGTCAAGCAAAAGATATTGAATATATGTTTCGTAAAAAAATACTAACATTAAAATCATTGGAGATATCAAGTATTATTTGCGTGAGTATTAAGTGCGTGATTTGAATATTGAACTTCAACCATCAAAACTGGAATTCAACACAGGAAACTGCAAACATTTAAAAAAAATGTGATAATAATATTTATTGAGTCACATATACAATTACAATTGTGTAAGATGAGTCAATATGATGTCTTGGATGGAGAGAGCGAAGTTACATTACTGTTCAGGATTACTATTGCTCGGGTCAGTCTCAGCATTCAGCATGCAGGGACCATCTCAGCATTTACTCAAGGGACCAGGGAAACTGAACAAAAACCTGATCGAGACCTGATCCTGACCATAATTGTTATAGATAAGTTATTATACAGTAGAGACTTATTTTTAGTAGCAAATAATTTAACATTTCAAGATTTGTACAGTTACATGATTAAAGTAAAAGTAAAATTTACTTGTTATTGTCATTTTATTGCTACTACTTAAAAATAGTAATATTAATAATATTAAAATAGTACATGATATTATATTATGATATAATTTAACAATGTTAGTGCATTCTGTGTTTAAATCTTGGAATGGTGAGGAGGCAGGTTTTGGCTAGTTTTTTTCTATTTGTAGACCTAGTCCTACTGAAAAAAGTGCATTATTTATTTATAATTTTAAATAATCATATATTTATTACAATTAATATATTAAAACATTAATAATTAAATTGTATTAAATTCTGGTTGACTGATTGTTGAAACTTCCTCCACTTCGTGAAAAAGCATTTTTAGGACTGTATTTATGAACATTCTGGATTTTTTCCAAATGATTATTTAAGTTAAATGTGAGTAAAAAATGTTCTCAGTGATAATTAATACAAATTTCTAAAATAAATATTTAAAAAGCCCACAGTTTACAAAAAATGTACGGTAGTAACTTCTACGCTAATAGCGCAGGGACTCGAAATTCGTTCGCACTTCGTTCATAAACCATGAAAAAGCACGTGGAACCAAACGTTTCATACACTTAATTTGATTACTGTAAAGCAGAACTTAAGCATCATTCTTTAGCATAAGCGTTTTCAAATAGAAAAAGTACGTGTATTGATAAAATGATCCTTTTTAAAAATCGAATTTGTCGACGAAATGCGCAGCCAGAACCTAGCCGAAAGAAAGCAAATATTGTAAATAACAAATGTGATAATACACACGCACCTCGGCAACCGCATAATACAGCCAATAACTCAGTAATTCTCAAGGAATCCCTTATGCGCACAGCAGAGGTTGCCATCCAACATTTTCCCGCGATATATACTCCCTGTTCCCTCCCTCTCCCTCTCTCACACTCTCACACTCTCTCACTCTCTCTCACTCTCTCACTCTCTCTCACTCTCTCTCACTCTCACTCTCACTCTCACTCTCACTCTCTCACTCTCTCTCT